TTACAAAAAATAAATAGATAAAAGAGATGACAAACTTAAAAGATTTATTGATACTTAATAAATAAAATTTTTGAGGTCCATTATGAAATTATAAATACTTACATGACTTCATTATAATGTTGGAATGATTTAGTTTAAGTAGATCATGGTCAAGTATTCATTTACATCATATCTATTATGAAATAAAGTGATTTCAAACAAATAATTGCATTTTGTATGCATATGAAAAAATGGAAAGCTCATATAAATTTCAAAATAAGGCATATGAAATATAGCACATATTTATTTTAATAAACAAAATCAACAAAAATGGCATACTGCACTTTTATAGTTTTTATACAATTCCTCAATTCCAGTAGCAACACTAGAAAGCAAGATCTTGCTTCTACTTCTTTCATGATTCTCAACAAAAGTTGTACAAAAAATACAAGAAACATTCAGTAGTAAAAATAACTTTTTAGATTTGATATAAAAACTATGCTAAAAATAAGAGTATAGTAAGAACTAAAATTTTATATAAACTATGCCTTAAAGTGCTAAATTTTGAAAGTGGCTATATTTAATAATCAAAAACTATTCTTCCAATTTATATACAATATATTAGAAGATTTTTCTAGTTTCTAGACCATTGTTGCGAATCAAATAATATTTTCTCAACACAAGTTGGTAAATTGTGCCAGTCAAAGCAATTTTAATTGTGTGATTTGCTTTTAGTTTTGTTATAAACAATAAAAGCATATGACAATCATAGTAGAAATAGATGATTTACAGTTATATCAGAAATAGATGATTTACAATTATATCATAATCGTTGAACGAATAAGAACCAGAATCAAAACCGTGGGAAGACTAATTAATAATAAAGAATAATGCTATAAAAAATGGTTAATAATTGCATAATGATATTTAAGAAATTATGAAACTATGAAGCAAGATAGTTACATTAAGATCCTAAAAATAGATGACCAACAATAAATCAGTTGAAATAAGAAGAACTAGAAACACTTGCAAGTCCTTTACATAACTAAGAAAAGGACGCTTGCTATAAAGCCTCAATAAATGGTGCCATAGATTCAATGTCACTTGTAAAATAAAAATAATAACTAGATTCAATGTCACTTGTAAAAATAAAAAAATATACTCCTGTGTGATGAATTGACTAAGATACATGGATGAAGAAGAAGCATATTGATTTCACAAAACTTCTTACCTATAGTACTTCCAAGCTCAATCATACAACATCTACTGGGCCCTCCTTCCTATCCATAGGAATTACATCAACTAATTAAATCCAATATTTTATAGCATCTGTGATGTGTAGTACCCATTTTATTAACATCCTAAAAAACTCAGTAAACTATTCCCATCAATACAATAGCAACACATAATAGCAATTCCATTTGAAGATATTTTCAATTTTATTAAAGATAGTTTATTTTGAGATTAACTATTTATTTAGTGGGACATTTACACTAATTATATGGCAACAAATAATCACAACATATTGAATTCCATATTGCGAAACGTACTGGTATATTCACGATTCATAGTTTGAGTGTTGCTTCCTTGTGCCCAAACCCTTTTCAATATAGTTCTTACTCCTAATTAAGATTCTTCTACAAACCTTGGCATCGAAATTAGAGTCCATGACAACAGAAGAAGATGAAGAATTGGCAAAGCATCTAACAGAGAAAGGCTCTTCTAGCTTTGGAAAGTACTCATCCTCCAGAAGCTTAAGGCGAACAAAGTTAGTGGTGATGAAGAGTCGCTAAATTGGTAGAGAAACATGATCAATGGTAGTCAAAGGGAGAATGGAGCAAAATGGATGGGGGGCAGACACAATGAGAATGAATAGTAGGCAAGCTCAGTAAAAACAAAGAGAACACAAGCCATGAAGGTGGACAAGGGTAAGTTGACGGCGAAGGCGATGAAGCAATGGATGAGGGATAGTGGTGGATTGAGGTGGGAGCTCAGGATGCAAATAATGAGCAACGTTAAATGGGTGAGGGGAATTTTAATGAGTTTGGTCCTTAACTTTCATTTGAACCTTAGACACAATTTTCTTTCCAAACAAGTCTTTTTTACCAGTTCTTCTTACTTTTTACTATTCACGTGTATTTTGAATTATTACTGTTCAAGTATGTTTTGTCATTGTAAATTATATACGTGAATATGTTTCTATTTTCTTGATTTATTTTAGTTAGTTTCACTTCTTTTTAAAAAATAAAAAATAAATTTAAAAGTACATTTAATGTAATCTAATTAACTAAATCTAAAGTTTAAATAAAATAATATTAAATATTTTTTACTAATAAAAATCTTTTTAAGCACGTTGTATGGAAAATCTTGTTTAGTATTCAACATTTTTTTTAGTACAATTTTGTATGAAAGAGCTAGGTATAAAAAATAAAAGGTTTTAAAAGTCACTTGGTAATATTCTTTTTCCTAAACGATATCATGGTTCATAAAACTGGATCAAAGCAAAACAACGTGATTTTAGGTTGTAAGAAAAAAAAAAACACACATGTACACCCACACACGCAGAAGACTTAAATCGTAACATCTCCTTGGCCTGCCTTCACTTTCTTGCCTAAAGCTCTCATTTGAGTCATTTTTCTCCTTCTTTCAATGTTCTTGCATGCAGTTTGTAGGTCTTGGCATTCCGTGATCTACTTCTTGTATACGATTTGCTTCACCCTGGTGGCTTCAACCTTCTCAGCATTCCCTATAGTGGGTTTGACGCCATGGGTCTCTGGGTCTCAGTGTTCTTGTCATCGTGGGTCCAACGGCTTCTCTATTTCCCTCCCCACTCGATTTGGGTTTGCTCCCTCCTACCCTTCTGTCTTGTCACTTCATTAATTATGTGTAGGATTGTTTGTGGGTCTGTGGGTCTTGACCTTGAATTTGTTGTTCATCCTTGAATTATTTTATGGAGACTGATGCTATGTTAATGGAAGCCATAATTATAGGACTATTTTGAATCCACATTGTTTTCTCCTTATTAGGGACAAAAGTCATTAAATACCTCTAATATCATTGTTGAGCGGTGTTTTGAATTTGCAAGTTGTGAAATCAAATTATTTTATCCAGTTTATTAAGATGTAAATTATAATGTTGTGTTTTGGATTTGAATACTAATGTTCAAGTGTTATCTTTTCAAATTCCTTGTTCTTCTACCCTACCTGATTTATGCGTTTTGCCCTGTTATAAGTTTTGTTGTATGTGGTGAGAGGATGAATGCATTGAAAATTAATGTATTTCTATTTAAATTATATTATTTATTATTTTATTATTATCAGTTTGGTTTAACTTAGTTTGATCGATTCTTGATCTTATCTTAATAATAATTAAAAAAACAATCAAAAGCATGAAAAATTTGCTCTTCTGATGCTATTTTTAGGGTAAAGATAAAAGAAAAGTTTGATCATATTTACAAAATACTTGACAATTTTTAATATTTTTCTTACATTTATACCTTTATTACATACTTTGAATAAAAATATCAATAATAAAATTTAAAATATTTATTAAATATAAAATGAAAATTATTAAATTTTAAATAAAATTAATAAAATTTAAAATTTTTTTGATTTGAATAAAGTAATTTATAAATGTAATTAAATAAAGTATTTTGAGTAATTAATTGAATATTCGACTTCTATTTTACAAGTGCTCCCTGAAATTAGTCATATAGCCGAGCAAACAACGCCATCTGGTATTAAGAAGCAGCGGACCAGTTTTCTTCGTCACACGACCAGCATTCTACACCCCATCAGGCGCCGTCATTGTTGTCAGCCTGCGTGGTTGTTCTCGAGCAAGTAGTCGAGAAGGTTCGAACTCCAGGGCTTCCCCAAGGTTATCAGAATCGGACCGGATCGTCCGGGAACCTGCCAGGTAGCTGTTCCGGAATGGTACCAAATCGAGGGAGATGGAACCGGCCTCTCCCCCCCTTCCCTTTTCTGGCAGACACAAACGGGAATATGAGATAATTTCTTAGGCTGAGTTGTTTCTGTCCAGGCTTTCTTAAACCCTAAAGCTCTCACCGAGTCACTCTTTGCCGTCTTCGAGTTGCAGCAGAACCAGATCCGGCGAACCCGAGGAGCTCTCATCTGGTCATCTTGTTCGCGTTCCTCTGCTCTGTTTCTCAATCTCACCGTTTTCTCGTCTCACTGTTTCAGTCGTCCGACCTCTCCTCTGTTCACCTTGTCTTCGTTGATCTCTTCAGCGTCTTCGTGCTCGACCGACCTCTCATCTTCGCGGGTTGCAAGTCGCGACGGGGGACTCCTTTGTTCCAGATTCTAGTTCGGGCTTCAAGACGAGTTCGATTGCTTTCTTGCTATTCGAGTTTCCTGATTTCTTCCACTTCCAGCCTGTGCATCTCGTCTGCCATCTTCAATCTTCCTTAACAGGTCAGAGCTCCTACTCTTGAAGCTTGAATGCTTCATACTTCGTAAATATTATCTATTATTTAGTAATTTTGATTTTGATTCTGTGAATGCTGAATGCTGTGCTGATTTCGATTCTGTAAATTTTGATTACGCTCAGTTATATTTTTATGGATATGGAACCTCCTACTCTTCCTTCCGACCCTAATGTGCCTGTCATTGGCACTCCTTCTAGCATGATTTTGGGGAATTTAATTTAAAAGATCTGTATGGAAATTGAATGTTGTAGTTTTTTAGTTGAATATGACTATTGGATTGTATGAAAATGTTAGGCTGTGGCGCTGTGCTGTGTGTGGCCATGGATGACTTTGAAGTTTGAATGTGGATGTTTCCTACTTTCCTTTGTTTTTTTCGTTTGTATTGGACTATTAGTGTCTAACTATCAATGTGTACTTGGATTTGTATGACTTTGAAGTTTGATGTATGGTGAGGTTGTTACTTTATTAGTAATAAGTTTTCTTTAGTTTATCACTTTCCCTATAATTTTTAATGTATAATATTTAAAATATATTAATTTAGTTACAAACAGTCCGACCTTGGTTCAATGCCCGGCCTGATTCTAATAACATTGGCTTTCCCACAATTTGGTGAGATTGATTTGTTCAATCTGGTTGATACGCTGCATTTTTATTAAATATTAATAGACATAAATGTTATTTGCACTTAATAAGTAGGGCTATTTGAATCCAGGTTTGAATTTCTTCCCACATCATTTGTTCCCTGAGTGGTAGTTCTTGTTTTGTTTTAAATTTTTCATTTTAATCTGGCTTTGAATCTGGTCACGTAATCATTTGAATACTGATGCTTTTGAATTTTGGAATATTTAAAGATTTCTTTCTTTCTTTGCTTTTTTTTTTTTTTTACTAGTTTACGCTTGAATGGTGTGTAATTGGCTGTTATACTTCTGCCCTTTTCATTTTGGTTACTAGCGACTTGTATGCTTTGGATTGTGTTATTTTGCAATGTTGGATTTGTTGTGGATTGACACTCTTTGTTTTAATCTCTCTATATTATCATCAATTTAGAAAATTCTCAATGTATTTGTGATGTATGATCTTGTAAATGACTTGGCTCGGGGTTGTGTCAAAGTATTTGGGACAAAAATTAATAGGGTATTATATCAACCATGCATATTTCAAACATTTCAGTGGGGGCAGGTCCGCCTATGATCCTTAGTACTTCATTGCCGAATTCCATTTTATGTGTATTTGGGGTGGGAAGGATTGATCCCCCCAGGTCTGGGTATGCAAAAGAAAAGAAAATTCTTGCTGGGCTATGGGGGAGAGAGGGGGGCAGTATCTGGCCCATTTGGTATGTTTCGGAAAACAGAATTAGTTTCCAATGCACAGACACCACATGCAATGTCTGTCTTGTTATCATTATTGAACAATGTCATGCTTTTTTTCATTACACTTTCAAAACGATGGTTATTGACAATTTTTTTCATTTAATTTTCTGTTTCATTCTTTTACTTTATGTGCACCAAATGACCTGTGAGTGAACAAGACAGGGACAAGTGGTAAAAACTCACCCCTATTCTTCCTCATTGCCATCTTTAGCTTGTAGGATACTGAAATTAGTGAATTTCATGTCATTAGCTTGTGTTGCATGTGCTGGCAATAATTTTTTCCCCAAAATCTATTATAGGAACTGCAATTTGGAAGTCAATTTTATAGTAGATATGGAAGAAGAGGATGACTATGTGGAGTATGTGCCTGTGGCCAAGCGTAGGGCCATGGAGGCTCAGAAAATTCTTCAGCGAAAAGGAAAATCCTCCTCCACAATGGATGATGATTTGGAGAAATCAAGAGTGGCAGAAGCCAAGCCAAGTCTTTTGGTTAAGGTATCACAGTTGAAACGGGATCAGCCTGAGATTAGTCCGACAGAGCAGCTTGTTCAACAAGAAAAAGAGATGATTGAGAACTTATCAGATCGAAAAACTCTTATGTCTGTTCGGGAATTGGCTAAGGGAATCACCTATTCAGAGCCTTTGCCTACTGGATGGAAGCCACCTTTACCAATTAGAAGAATTTCAAAAAAGGCATGTGATTTGATTCGGAAGCAGTGGCATATAATAGTTGATGGTGAAGACATCCCTCCCCCAATTAAGAATTTCAAGGATATGAGGTTTCCTGAGCCAATTTTGAAGAAGTTGAAAGCAAAAGGGATTGTGCAACCAACACCTATTCAAGTACAAGGCCTTCCTGTGATCTTATCTGGGAGGGATATGATTGGGATTGCATTCACAGGATCAGGGAAAACACTAGTCTTTGTGTTGCCAATGATCATGGTGGCACTGCAAGAGGAAATTATGATGCCTATTGTTCCTGGAGAAGGTCCATTTGGTTTGATTATTTGCCCATCAAGGGAACTGGCTAGACAGACTTATGAAGTGGTTGAACAATTCTTGATACCTCTGAGAGAAGCTGGATATCCTGAGCTTAGGCCATTGCTTTGTATTGGTGGGGTAGATATGAGATCACAGCTAGAGGTTGTGAAGAAGGGTGTTCACATTGTTGTTGCCACCCCTGGGAGATTAAAGGATATGTTAGCGAAGAAAAAAATGAATCTTGATAATTGCAGGTATTTAACACTAGATGAGGCTGATAGATTGGTAGATTTGGGATTTGAAGATGACATTAGAGAAGTGTTTGATCACTTCAAAGCTCAAAGACAGACACTCTTATTTTCTGCCACTATGCCAACCAAAATTCAGAATTTTGCTAGAAGTGCTCTAGTGAAACCAGTCATTGTCAATGTGGGGCGAGCAGGGGCAGCAAATCTTGACGTAATCCAGGAGGTAGAGTATGTTAAGCAAGAGGCAAAAATTGTGTATCTCCTTGAGTGCCTGCAAAAAACCCCACCTCCGGTTTTAATATTCTGTGAGAACAAGGCTGATGTGGATGACATTCATGAATATCTTCTCTTGAAAGGAGTGGAAGCAGTGGCTATCCATGGAGGCAAAGACCAAGAAGAGAGAGAGTATGCAATTGCAGCCTTTAAGTCTGGAAAGAAAGATGTGTTGGTTGCAACTGATGTTGCATCCAAGGGATTGGATTTTCCTGATATTCAGCATGTTATCAACTATGACATGCCTGCTGAAATTGAAAACTATGTTCATAGGATTGGACGAACTGGACGATGTGGCAAGACTGGCATAGCAACAACGTTCATAAACAAGAATCAAACTGAGACAACCTTACTTGACTTGAAACATCTGTTGCAAGAAGCAAAACAGCGCATACCCCCAGTTTTAGCAGAGCTGAATGATCCGATGGAATATAACGAGGAAATCACAGATAAAAGTGGGGTCAAGGGCTGTGCGTATTGTGGTGGGCTTGGTCATCGCATTCGTGACTGCCCCAAATTGGAACATCAGAAGAGCATGGCAATTGCAAATAACAGAAGGGATTATTTTGGTTCTGGCGGATACAGGGGAGAAATATGAAAAAGCACCGCTTCATTGTGTATCAGTTTATGTATTATAACGACAAAATGATTTTTGCAGGATGAAATGTAATTAACTTTATTTCATGTCTTGGATGTCCAGTATTATGCTCCATTCATCTGGATTGATCTTCATCTGTTCATGTGGTCTCGAAAGATTCAGTGTAGTTAGAACACTCGGTTTCTGCCCCAACAGGTTCTTTTCTTAAAATGAGTTTCTATTGCTGCACTTGTATTCCTCTGTCCCCATATAAGTAAATGGTCTCAAATTGCATGCTGCAATTGTATACTTTTTAAAAAGTCTACTTTTTGGGTGGTTAAAAATGAGTGGCCTCAATGCATGTCTAATGGTTTAAGAAGATTTTTATTTTATTTTATTATAAAATATTTTAATCATTTCATGTGTGTTAAAAAATATTTTTTTTATATCATAAAAAAAGAGATGTACTTTAATTTTTATTTTTTGATTTTAAATAATAATATAACTATATTAAATAGTTTATGTTAATTAAAAAAATGATAAAATTAAAAAAATAATTTAATTATTATAAGGTGTTTTATATTTTAAAAAAATTAATTTTAAAATGTGTTTTATAAATAATATCAGAAGGAGTATTTTTAAAAATATTTATCAATGTACCCTTCAAAAGGATTTTTCCTTGACATCAAGATTTGAATTTACATGTATAAGGTATATAGACCTTGTGTTTTATTGATTGACCCCCCCACCCCAAAAATGTCAACAAGGCAAATCAAAGCTTGGGAGAAAAAAACAAAACAAAAAAACTATTTAGTGTGTGTAGACATACTCCCACGATAGTCGAGCAAAAAGATGGTTATGGGAATCTCATTAAGGAATACCATTCTGTTGGTGAAGTTCTGAGCAAGTTGAGACAAGTGATTAGCACATACCATTGCCTCCCTTAGAGCATATATCAACTTAAAAATATGTATGTGCAAATAACATTTCTTGCACTTCTAATATTTCCTCTAGGAGTGTTGCTTAGTGCTTACTCCTTTATAAACATGATTGCATATGTAAAGCTTGAATATATCATTGCCTTTTCAACATTGAGGATTGAACAGAGGTTGATCCCATGTTTAATGGCTTTCAGTTATGGTGATTGGGAAATTTCCCAAGTTGCAATGAAAACCACCTAACCATTTACTTGGAGAATTTCGAGGCTGCCCCCCACAAGCTGCATTGTTGAGTCGGCTTCAAGATGTATCCCCATCAACTTGTACAATACCCAAAGGTGGTGCAATCCAGTGATGTCCATGATTTCTTGTCCTATTGCTGTGTTGTATTTGAAGAACTTCCAAGTGTCGCTCCTCCACGAGTCTCCCTCTACATGCATTAATATTATCGCTTGGAGTGTGTTGGGTGCCTTCGAATATATCCTTGCATCCGTGCACCCACAGTAGCCAACATATGTTGCCGAGAACTTTAATCCAAAGCCAATTTTGATAGCAGCCTCCTCCAATCTGGTGTTTTGTGTTCCATTTAATCCATTCCTGCAAACTGTATGAGAAAAAATGGTAACATAGACAAGATTAATAATTTCCTTCCATGTGTTTTTTGCACTCAAAACAATATCTCAAAATATGTATTATGCTTTATTCTTGGTCACACTCAAATGAACATAAAGCATTAATGGTAAAGCCCCTTCTCACTTTTGGTTGGTTATTAGGAATTCTCTATATAACCTGCCAAAAGAAGAATTCAATTTTTCCGAAAAAGGCTTTTCCACAATGGATTTCTGTCAGCTAACATGGTGTTCTCGAGAAACTTGTAAGTTAAACTGACCAAAAACCTTCCATCACTTGCATTTCTCCACCAAAAGGAATCATGATGAGTCATGTGAGGCTGGACTAGAGGGATTTGATTAATTGTATCCATAGAGAAGTATTGGTACAGATAATTTCTATTCCAAAAACCTGAAGGAAGAAGAAAGTCACAGACCATCGCGTTTGGGTTTATGGGAAAATCGAACTTAGTCACGTACTCAATCAAAGGCTATTCAAGAGGCGCCCGATCCCACCAAAAGCTTGTTATTGCATCATTGTTGATCTTTTTACCAGTGCCCTGGATGAACACCTCCCAAACCTTAGCGATGCTATTCCACACACGAGACATCCTCTAGTATTTTCTATGCACGTCACTTGAAAAACTTCCATCCTGGTGGATTATTACTTGCGCGCGCACGTCAAACTACAGTTGCATACATTATTAGTGAATAGATGTTGCCCTATAAGGGGGTTTTCATAGTAGTGAATATTCCCTGAAGAGATCAAATAAATAGAAAGAGAAGAAAAAAAGAAAAGATGTTATAAACATAGAGGTCAGTGATTAGATGCGAGCTCCACCCAGTCCCTTTTTTTTTTTTAATAATATTACTCGTTTTCATGAAAATAAATGCGTGAGTGTAAAATATCTAAATTTATGTCTCAGTTCATTAAACGTGGAGGCTGCCGAAAGTGGCTATAATATAATTAGTGAAATCCACTCTGTTTAGCTAAAAACTAACACTTATAGATTATTTAAAAAAAAAACTAATATTTATATTGCTTGATTTTAAACGCAAAATTCTTATATAACTGATTTGATTTGTTATAAAACATATTTTTATTATTGATAAAAAAATGCAAGGAGATCAATTTTTTCATCATTGAGAAAATTGCATAACTTAGTATTAGATTTTTTACACACCTTTTTTTAATAATTTTCCTTTTTTTCACATCTAAAGAAGATTTTTTTTTTTTGAATTTTAGTTCCTTTAATAGTATGATTTAGATGAGGTGATATTTATTCATACAATTCTTAAATTGAGTATAATGGGAGAGTAAATGCTAGAATGGAATATCAGTGACATCATAATTAACAGACTTTGAAGTTGACTCTTAGAATTTAACATTTTTACATTCTTTGCTCACAAAGTATTGTCAATTCATTTATAAACTTAAATTAAAAACAAATTCAATTAAACTCATGAATTTATTATTTTATGTTTCTGGGTTATAAAATTATATTAGCTAATTCATAAACTTTGAGTTAGATGCAAAATTAATTAAACTGGTTAAGCTTATTAATTTTTTACGTAGTTGATTGAATTAAATATATACTATGTAGAACTTGATTCATAAAAATGATATGACTTGGTTCAAATTAAAAACCTTAAAAAGCAAAAACTAACATTAATAAAAAATAAAAAATAAGTTACTTTATTTTAAAATTTCTATATTTTGTATGATAATCTATCATCATAGATGAATTTAATTTCAATAATTTATATTTAAAATATTTTTAAATTAAATTATGATCATATTTTATATTATTATTCAATCATATATTTTCAATAATTATTTATTAATAGAAGTAAATTTTTATAAATTTACAAGAGTCCATTTATATTTCAGTTGGGCATAATTGATTATGAAAATCATTAATTAATATAATTAATTTTAATTATAATTAATTATATTATAATGCAATCTGTTGGGATACTCTATTTTTAAAATTGATTTGGAAAAATGACAGAAAAATTTCAAAATGACTAATTAATTTGAGTTAGATTTCAAGTGTCAAGCTTCAAAAGTTTACAACTTAATCTCTCAATTTTACAAATGCATTATAATGAATTTGTAACTCAAAATTTCAAATTTTAATAGGAAAAATAATTTTTTTATTTTTTAATCATGTTAAAATTTAAAAACTAAATTACAAATTTATCAGAATACAGTTATAAAATTGAAAAAATGAATTACATATTTATAAAATTTAACACTTGAGATTTAATTTAAATTAATTAATTTTGTTGAGACATCTTTGTCATTCTCCTAATTAATTTTAACGGAATAATTAATGCTTTAACAGTAAAATTAATTCCTATAATCAGCTTGAGCCAGCTTATTTGAAAATACAATTATGCTTCAATAATTAATTATCTCAATTTTGAATGTTTGGATAATTTTGATTGAAATCGATTATTTAACTCAAATAGTCGATTACTTGGGCCATCCAAGCAGACTGGAAGGTGAATTAATAACTTGAATTAATTAGAAGTAAGCTTGTGATTTAAACCGGGCTTTTAGCAAAGGTCATGTACCATTTGAGTATGTTACGTGGCCGTTGAATCTATCTCTCTCTTCGTTCCCACTTTTCGACTTCACCGTCACGGCGTGCGTTCCGTTCCGAGAAAAATTTGAAAGTAAAGCCCCTTGTGTTGTGCTAGCAATTCTTCTCTTCCAGGATTTCATCAATTCTGTTTCTCAATTTCTTTTGCTCGATTCAAATATTCCAGCTTTGGATCTTGCTTCAATGCACGCCCTAACTCCAGAATACTCATTAATTTGAAGTTTCGGGTTTCGATTCTTAGGGTTCTATTGCCTGTTCCTCCAAACATAATTGGGACGCCATGGCTGGTAACCTTAGAAACAGTAGACTAAGAAATCCGCCCGATATCATTTCATCGGAAAACCCTAAGCATTCATCTCCTATTCCGAAATCCCACGAACCCAATCAGTTTCCGTCCCACTTAGACGCACCGGAAGTTTCATCGTCAGCCAGAACCATCTGCAATGTTCTCACTCGAGTATCGCCTAATAATATTGAATCCACACTTTCCTCCACTGGAATCGAACCTTCTGCGAATACTGTCCAGGAAGTTCTCAAACTTTCCTACAATTACCCTTCTTCTGCGGTGAAGTTCTTCCGCTGGGCCGGGCAGCTAAAGAAGCATACGGCACATGCGTGGAACTTGATGGTCGATCTGTTGGGTAAGAACCAACTCTTCGAACCCATGTGGGATGCAATTCGATCGATGAACCAGGAAGGGGCGCTTTCTATGTCCACATTTGTGTCGGTATTTGAGAGTTATTGCATGGCTAGTAGGTTTAATGAGGCCGTGATGAGCTTTGATGTGATGGACAGATACGGGATTCAGCAAGATGTTGTTGCAGTGAATTCGTTATTGAGTGCAATGTGTCGTGAAGATAATCAGACTTCAAAAGCCATGGAATTCTTCGAAAAAATAAAGGAAGAGATACCTCCTGACGGTGACACGTTCTGTATTTTATTGGAAGGGTGGGAGAAAGAAGGGAATCTAGCCAAAGCTAAGACTGTTTTTGATGAGATGATTGTTCGTGTTGGATGGAGCCCAACAAATATGTCTGCTTATGATACATTCCTGACAACCCTTGTTCGTGGGCTGCAGATTGATGAGGCCATGA